TCTAATTTTCTGAACTGTTTAGAATGAGATAACATGCTGCAGTAATATCATTTTGCAAAGAAAACTAAATATTGTAAAACTATATGCTTACATCCCTGTCTTCATTGAGTTGTTATTACTTTGTTCCAAGTATAAATGCCCTAACCAATGAAAACTATTAATGCAAGATGATGATGGCCAAGATCTATATTGTGTGCCCACTAAGAATTGTAGAGTGGATTACCAACATATACATGTATATATTATATATAATGTAATTCGTGTCGTGTTATTATTGCTTGAAGTTCTCCAAGAATCATCAAAGAGCTATTTCCATTCCACTGATTTACACATCTGAACTAGAAATAAAGGAGACCAGTGAGACTCTAATTTGTTTCGTATTTAGATCTATAACATAAGGATTCAGAGTGACAGACTACTATATAACAACGGAGATGACTTCAACCTTCCAATAGTCAACTTGCCCTTTATGTCGAGAAGTATTCCTGAAGCTTTTAAGGCGTTATCGAGCATGCTCATTCTTCCAAAATTTCAAAGAGCGTCATACGACTCATGCTCAGAAGCTGTTTGATAAAGGTTACAACATTGTGACCGGTGTGACCGGTGGGTCACCTTTTCGCGAACACCTGGTACTATCATTCTTTGTTAGAGGTTCATAGACACATGCCCATGACCTAGTCGGTATCGTACAATCGACTCTGCAGAATATGGAAAGCGTTTTGTTGTAAAACGATTGTGACAGCAGGTACGTGGGCCTGTATAAATGGAAAATAGGTATACAAACTGTGTCGTTTGTAATTTACTGTGCGAAGTTTTGCAAATTTATTGCTATATTAATCTCATGAAGTGGTAACTGATCATCAAATTTAATTTTCGTTAATGCGTCCCGGATGTTTGCCAACGGGCTGTTACATACAGAGTGAGTGAGTGAGTTAAAATTTAAAGTCACATCGGCAATATTTCAGCCATATAGTGATTATATCAAATTAAACAATACATCAATTGAGAATATAAACCTGTCGACAAAGGACAGTAAAAGTACTAGATTATCACAGATGTCAGTTTAAAACTAGTGAGTGATCATAAAACTACAAATTCATATAATACAATACATTACAATACAACGTAAAATTGGGCTATATATCACCAGCAACCAAAAGGTAGGTCACCATACCGGGGACCATGGGGACTTACAGTACCTTTGCTACCTGCATTGACCCCGGCAGGATTTACACCATCCCTTCGGTTACTGATGATTATGGACAAGTTTAGCCAAAATTAAAACAAACAAATATTCTACGATTAAAAACCTGGTATATATAAATTACTTTGAATGAAGTGGGTTTACGCACCCTCTCAGGGGGACAATAATTTTACGCTACTTCAACCCCCATCAAGGGTACAACCACTAACAATCTCAGTTCATAATCATATTCTACCAATTGATAAAATATATAACTTTATACATCAAAATTTATTAATCAATTCAATTTCTTTTAAAAATCAAAGAATTAAATGAGAGTTGAGGTTAAAAAGATCCTTTATAGATGAAACGTTGAAATATTGATCCCTTGTGATGGCAAAATCAATACAGTCAAGCAGGACATGCTTGACCGTGATTCTCTCATCACAAGGGATGCAAAACGGAGGATCCTCACCTTGCAATAAATACTCGTGAGTGTATCGGGAATGGCCAATGCGACATCGTCTTAGAATGACCTCTTGAAATCTGGACTGACAGCCCAAGTAGGTATAACCGATATTTGGTTTAATTTCATGTAATTTATTTATACCTACTTGGGCGTCCCACTTCTGTTGCATAAGATCTCGGATGTAAGATCGAATCATGGGTTTAAAATCAGTGTATGGAATCAGAAGTGGTGTCACAGATTTGTTGAGTGCTGCTTTTGCAGCAGCATAGGCCATTGTGTTACCAATGATACCAACATGGCTTGGTAACCAACAAAAGACGATGTCATATTGGCCAGTAGCAAGATCATTAAATAATTCGAGAATTTCGATTAAAAGTGGATGTTTAGGTGACATATTTTTAATCGCCTGAAGGCATGAAAGAGAATCTAAAAACAGTATGAATTGTTTATGTTTAGCTTGATTACTGATATATTTAAGTGCTGTAAAATGGCGTTTGCTTCTGCAGTGAATATGGAACTGTTATCAGGTAAACGTGAAGATATTGTTCTGGATCCAATGACGGTGGCACTAGCAACTGCGCCACCATCCTTGGATCCATCTGTAAAGATAGATTTATAAGTGTCATAATTATTTCTTAATTGACTGTATTCCTGTTGGTAAATTAATTCGTTAGTGTCTGATTTCTTTAGTTTTGTTAATGTAAGATCTACCTCTGGCTTTACCATTTGCCAAGGAGGAGATGAGAAAAGTTTAGTAGGAGCTATATCTTGGAGTTGAATATTAGAAGCTGATATTGCAGATTTTATTCTGATTCCGAGTGGTGGAGTAAGTGTTGATTTCTTATTGTAAAGATCTTCGTAGAGAGGATTGAATATGCATTCAAAAGCTGGATTGGACTGATTAGAATATAATTTAGTGATGTATTGTAAACATAATTTTAAACGGCGTTGTTTAAGAGAAGGCTCATCTGCTTCTATATAGAGACTGTGAATGGGAGACGTTCTAAAAGCTCCAAGGCAAAGCCTCAGGCCTTGATGATGGATGGTATCGAGTTTTTGTAAATTACTTTTGCAGGCTCCACCATAGACGATGGAGCCATGTTACATACAGATTGCATTGAAGACCGACCACGGTCTAACTGTCAAACATCTGTTTCTAGCTGGTGATATCTGTTTTATCATTTGGCAGGAGGCCACTTGTTTATATGTTCTAATTAGCCCTGTCAACTTGAGCAACGCCAATCCTTAATAGTGTCAACTGTTGGTCCCGTTGGGCTTTTCCAATCATCAAGAGAAAGGTTGACCACTTTGTAAATTTATTACAATTTTAAACCAAACATCAACCTTCTTAATGGCATGAATACTACCCAATATTAAATACATATTATATTGGTACTTATAAAACCAAACATGTACCTCCCTCAAGCACCTTATTCATATGTCCATTGATTATACATGTATCTATATAGACTATTATGTTCAATAATGACTATTTAGGAACAAATAAGTTGCAAGTTGTTTTTAGTTGTTGATTTAGATAATTTCTATCCAACCTCCATCCGACTCCCCTACCAAAACCCATTGCTGTGCTTGACAGGTCATCATTCAAAGAGACAGTGTGATGACAGGCTGATGAGATATCACTGATAACAGTCTATAGATGAGAGTAATTTACGACACTCTTGGTCTGGTTTTTATAACATCTACATGAGACATGTACATTCGAAATCAAATGGATGGAAAAAACCTGTCTCAAATAAACATAGTTTAATCATTTCTGAACTCATAAATTGGAAGACAAAGGAACGTTTTAGTGATGCCAATAGTGTAGTCATCACTCAGAACCATTGAACCTCTATGAATATAATATACTCTTCAAAAAAGGAAAAGATTTGTGTGAGGTACGAAAATACATTTATACAAGGAACCGTACAAGGTATTGAACCAAAATGTTGTGGAGAGGACACTTGGTGATTGTACTCATCTCAGTCATCGGTATTTAGGAAAAGTCCAAGGTGAAGGTCAGCTACAATCAATAACGCGTATGTCCCCCGTTGGAGTCGATAGCGGCCTGACAGCTCCTGCCCATTGAAGAGACGAGTATGCAAATCACATCCTGGGCAATGGTAGCCCGTTCGGCCTCCAACGCAAAAGCCAACTGCTGCAACGTCTGGGGTTATGGTTGACTAACCACTTCATCCCACAGGTGTTCTATCGGGTTACAATCCGGGGATCCTGAGGCCAGGGCAGAATATGAACGTTGTTGCTGTGTGGACAGGCTCTTGTGATCAGTGCTGGTTGAGGTAAGAGAATTTCGTTGATGTATCGTTTAGCCGTAAGATTGCCCTGGATATGGACGACACCTTTCCTGTCATGATGAGAGATAGCTGCCCACATCATAACGCTAACCCCAGCAATTCTGTCCACTTCCTGTACGCAGTTTCCGGCGTAACGGTCACCCAGCGTCTGTAGACCCGTGCTCTTCAATCCCCTCGACGGAGGAGAAATCTTCATTCGTCGCTGAACCAGACATGTCTCCATCGCAACGGAGGCCATAACATGTGTTGACGACACTATTTCAGTCGTTGTTGACGATGTCGTCGACTCAATATGACGCGTCGAACAGGACGTCTTGCTCGTAGACCTGCTGCTCTTAAACGGTTTCGTGCGGTATGGTCGGAGATTCTGCACAGTCCGGATATTTGGGATGCGGTTGAGGTGGCTGTGGTCGTCCTTTCACGTAGGTTACGCAGTCGGATGTAGCGAACTTTGGCGGTGATGGTTACTCTTGGTCGTCCCGATCACGTGTTGTCCCATGCTGTTGAAACCGACCCCAAAGCCTTGTGATGGTGCTTGAGGCTACATTGAAAACCCTGGCTACATCTGATCGGGATTCCCCTGCCTGTAAGCGGCCTATGACGTTGTTTCTTTGTTCGATTGACGCAGATGCCAGGCAATCAAAAACCCTGCACTTTAATACCGTTCATAGTGCTGCAGCACGTGCAGTGCGTGCAACTCGATGGCCCTTTTATAAATGCACTAGGTGCTTTTTTCCGAATCGTGCGTGTTTCCCGACGAGTGGTTTGATTTTCCTTGTTGTGATCATTTTGATCCGGGAAATTTGTCACTGACACTATAACACATTAAACCTTTTTTTATTTTGCACCTCTTAGTCTGCTAATTTTGCTTTTATTGCCAAAAATATGTCTATTGCGTTTCTTCCTTTGAAGAGTATATATGCATGCGTGTGCCTCGCCCCGCAGATAGATGCACGTGTCTGATTGGTCGAATTGAAAGCATGCAATCGGGATACTGAACGAATATAGCCACTTTTGCAGTTGGTAACGATTTGCACACCAACAGCGTGGTTGTACAGAGGCTACGCCTTTGAATGTCCTTCATCATGTACACAGCTGTGTGTTGACGGATTGCTGTAATCTCCATCAGTTCACTTTCTAAGCAAGCGGATGGTGGTGCCGCAAAATGATGAACTTTGACGACGTGTTGAGACAACTGGGGGAGTTTGGCCCGTACCAGAAATGTCTGTACTTACTTCTGTGTCTTCCAGCAATAGCGGGATCTCTCCAGATTATACAGGCAGTTGTGTTTCTGTTTGCAGTTCCTGAACATAGGTATGGATTTTCAGCAAAGCATTTCAGATCTTGTTGCATTGTAATGATTGTCATTATCACCTGCATATATATCAGTGATAGAATAGGTTTATGGAAGAGCGAATATTGTTTCATATAAATTAACAATTGTTATATCAGTGTAGCTGTGTCTATGATCTGAGGGTACAAGGACATACACGCTTTGTAGGATGCTGCTGAAAACACATCATGAATGCAACAACTACTTGTCTTAAACTGCAAGTGTATATACCGATTGTTTTGTCACATGTACTACTTCGAAGAAATTGTCTTTACAAAGGTAATTATAATGTTACCAATTTTTAAAGAAAATAAAAGTAAATGGAAAATATATGATATCTTTCCATTTCACAATACTGTTTGAGTAGTTAAAAGTAGTTTAATCAAACTAACAGCACACGCGTCTACATGTATATTGTCTGGTACATTTAGCCTGCATCACTGCAGATGTCTAACTTATTCATAAACATTAGACAACGACAGCAAATGACAACAGCTAAACCTGATCGAACAATATATATTTGATAGAATCTAAAAAATAAACAAATCGCATCATGTAATCTGAACAAAAGCAATATGAAACAGTGATAGGGTTTTCCATATGCAAATGCAACCAGCTTAGTTTATGCTTAATTAAAGCGACACAATCCTTTCCAGATTCATGAGAAATAGTTTTGTCTCTCTGAATCGTTATGAATATATCTCAATATGAAATAGATGAGACGGTCTCATTGGTACCTTTTATTTCTAGCTCAGGTGGGTATGATAGTAGAAGATGAACTTCTTGGCCAAATTCCCTTGTTTTGATTTTGCAAATACGAGTATGCATACAGAAAAAGATCAGCAAGGTGGGGAGCACAATTGCTGCCCATGTAGATGACAACTACTTGCCTACATGTCCTATACTGAATGTCACATCTACCGTATTCGACGTAATAAGCGCCCCGCTCTATTAAGCGCCCACGGCGATATTTGCTAATATTTTGGCTAGTGAACAATCCCAATTCGCACCCCTTCCGATTGATCAATGTACACAAAACTTATTCATTCGCGTATAATACGCACTCATGTGTTATATGCATTCTTAATTATGGGCAATTAAATTCTGGAAAAATGTATCTGTCGCATATAAACATTTCAGTGTGTCAGCATAAACCACGAAATTTATCTTTCAACTCTCTTTTTTCCACCAAAATAATATTCTAATAAGAGCCCCCTTTTTCTAATTTTGAGATCGCCCTTGGCGCTTATTACGTCGAATACGGTATATGAAGTATCACATATGAATAAGTCCTGCATGTCACACATAGTTGCTGTTTATTATATTTGACAAATTATCCTGCACGTTTGAAAATAGAAAACTTACTCTGTCTCAGAACACATTTTACACGTTCTGTTAAATGTGAATTTCGCCCAATAACAAGTTTGAATTGTACTGATATCTAATTCCACATATTTATGTATGATAATGTAATTACGTTTCTGGTTGGCATTTTGCAGTTCTTCACAATTTGCATTAGGATTGATAAATAAACATTGTCAATTTCGGATATAACCTTCTGATATCTGAAACGTTGCTTGTTTCTTCATGAAAACTATTACTATTCATATGCAGCAATGAGTTGTGATCATTGAAATAATTCATGAAAACCCATAACCTATTGCTTAGTTGTGAATAATCCGTTCGTGTTTAGGGGCGAGAGATGGCTTCATATTGGTTTGTTTGTTGCTATACTCAGCAATATTCCAGCTATATGACGGCGGTTTGTAAATAATCAAGTCTGGCCCAGACAATCCATTGATTGATCTTTTGAGCATCGATCCACACAATTGGGATGCGATGACATGCATCAACCAAGTCAGCGAGCCTGACCACCCGATCCCGTTAGTCGCCTCTTTCGACAAGTATAGTCGCTTTTTACAGCAAGCATGGGTTGGTGAAGACCTATTCTACCCCGGATCTTCACGGGGTCTTCACTTTGGTAAAATGAAAATAAAAAACATAAGGACCACCATATCGCGTGGGTAAAGGTAAGAAGAGATTGAACTATCTTATTTCCGCAATTGACACATGCTGACGTTTATGTTGACTGAGCCCTAATATTCATGATGTTATTTCCAATGGCAGGTGCGCTATTCCAGGATTTGCCAATGACACCTACGAAATTCAGAATGACTTTCACGAAGAACTCATAAATCGTTCCATTCCAATGACATCCGGTTACTATGGCGAAGAAAAGTATTCCCGCTGCCAACTGTATGTACAAACCAATACCTCCAAGATTTGGTCGTCTACAAGAAGTGTCTCAGAACCCTGTCATGCTTGGGTGTACGATCAATCACAGTTCATATCAACGATTTCAGAGACGGTTAGACCAATAAGCAAAACTTTCCCCATGACAAATATGCAAATGGTTTCCATTGAATAACATTTAGTTTCAAATTTTGTGTGGAATTTCATCATGAACCAATGCTAAGAAGTCTTAAAGGCATTTATTTATTAAGAATATTTGTACTGTGACTGCCTAGTACAGGAATATCAAGAGACTTGTGGAGTGTGTATAGTTATATTATTACATGTTTGCGAGGTATCAGTAATTACTCAGCCCAGTCATTACTTAAATAGGTCCAATAAAAATATGTATGATCGATTGTTCTGCATCCTTTTCAGATGGATTTTGTCTGCGAGAAAAAGTCCGATGCGAGTCATGCCAAGATGCTTGGTATGTTTGGACATTTGGTTGGCGCTCTGATTAATGGTCCATTGTCAGACATGTGAGTAGCCTTGACAGACTACATTAGACAGGAGAGAGGGAGTGCAATAATGTTGTTTGCAGCTGCAGTCAGCAGTATTTCAGCGACATGGGGTCGATATCGTCGAATCTGAACCAACAAAATCAGTGATTGAAATCATGACTAATGATTTAATCCATGTTTGGAATGAGTAGGAAGGTAGGTAGGTATGTAGGTGAGTGAGCGAGTTAAGATTTAACGTCACATCGGCAGCTGTTACAACAGACATTAAATACCGGGTCCTATTCTGAACTGGGATCCCGGTACCACAACAGACCACTGTGTCAGAACAGACGATAGAATAATTTTTTTGGGATTTCTTTCTTTTTGCTTTTAATGAAAACCCGTCCTCAATAAGTGTTTTTTTGCAACGCCATTGTAATATAACAATATGACATATAGAATAGAACGGAATAGAAAGTTACACATTTACAAAATCTAACTTTTACCCCTTTGGAAGTTTACAATCTATTATCAGTGTAGAGATTATGTTTTGAAGCCAGTGACAATTGGTATTGCAATGTATGTATAATAATCAGTGCAAAATTGCGGATTATATGTCCGGTGTGAATGGACAGGTAAGAAAATCCATCCTCATATTCTCTAAAATCACAGACATTTACTGATATTATATAGTTTCAAACAAATTGTGTTTTCCGTTGATACTTCAAATTTCCGTACGACCTAATCTCCAGATCCTTCGCTCCTGAACCATCAACAATGGAAATGCTTGGTTGATTGGAGAAATAAGAGAGCACATTAAATTATATACCAGAGGGCATCTTCCCGAGGCAAGGGAGTTAAATGACTATAAAAGTCTAGTTTCCACCCTTGCCGAACTAGGCTGGCATTGTAGAGTTATATTTTGGCTGGACTAACGAGTCCATGCATAGTCCATTCAAAATCGCGCAGCGAAATCTAAATCCGGTTCGTAAACTGTCGAGCAGATTTCGGTCGATTGCAGGATTTGCAAAGCATGTGCATCGTCAACTCGTTGTCAACAGATATTTTCCAAATGTGTTTATGTTTAGGTGCTCACGTGATTTGATGTATTTCGCGATGTAAGACCCGTTTTATCACAATAAAGATTTTGATAATCGATCAGATCGTCCTGACTGGGCGTAGCCATTTTGTTTGAAGCGAATGCAAGTGATACGAGAAGTGGAATCTGATTGGTCCATGGGAGAGGCTGGGAAGGGACATAACTCGTAATAGCCACTGGTGGCGCTACGATCGAGCCCAGGAATTCCAGCCTAGTTCGGCAAGGGTGGAAACTGGACTCGGGAAGATGACCAGAAGGCGATATCCAAATAATTTCACCTTTGGTATATACATCCACAGAGCATAAATAGGCTTTACCCATTATCAATTTTCGACATGCAACATACCTGTGAAGATCCGGGATGGAAAAGGTCTTCAGCAACCCATGCTTGTCGTAAAATGCGACTATGCCTGTCGTAAGAGGCGACTCACGGGATTATTTACAAACCGCCGTCATATACAATGTAGCTTGAATATTGCTGAGTGCCGCCTTAAACAACAAACAAACAAACGATATGCAACATATCACTATCCAAAGAGAATTAAAATAAAGAAACAAACGATATGCAACATATCACTATCCAAAGAGAGTTATCGGAGCCCACTTATCATAATGGGTTTGTTATTTGTTGTAGCAAACGTTTCGTAATTCGAAGTTACAGGGTGTCATTGATGATACTTTTGGAGACTGTAAGCCGTTATGAATAATAATGAGTCAAATTATCTTGTGTTTTCTGCAGGTTTGGAAGAAGGCCAGTTATAATCTGCAACATGTTCATCATGGTATTGCTCAGCATCTGTCTGGTGTGGTCCAATTCAGCCCCTGTGGTCCTCTTCCTTGATTTCGCCATCAACGCCTGCTGCCTTGGCCAATATCTCGTGTGCTTCGTATTTGGTAAGGCAAAGGACTGTATATGGCTATCACCTTTATCGTCCGTTTAAGTGCGAGATCAGAATTCTTTTTGTTTGCCCAACAGCTGAATGTACTCTTTCTATATTCCCCGGAGGAGTGTGGGTGTGTGTGCGTGCGTGCGTGCGTGCGTGCGTGTGTGCACATAATCGGCCTAAGAGAGTAGTCTCTGGCAGTCCGGGGACGAATATGTGCCTGGTATTCCATGCTTTTCGTAAGAGCCGTCTTCAGAGGATCTGGTGTCCATGCTCGGCGATTTGGCTTGTGATATTGTGTTCCGATAGCATGGATCCTCGCTTATGATTTCGGTCAATGGCTTGCTGTTTCCAGATTAATTTACGAAGGTCATGTTCACAAATTGCCGATCATGGCTCCCGTTTGAGATCAGACTGCGCCACGACACGAAAAGTGAAAAAGCCGGATTACTATCCTCAATGATCTGGAATACGTTCATAACAGAGTCCTAAGGATCGGGAAAGGTCCAGAGAGGTCGGCCAAGCACTCCCGACAGTATTCTGCGTCCCGTAACATTCGGGAAACTTGTCGGCTTACAATCGGGGCTGATATGGCTGAAATATTGCCGATGTGACTTTAAATATTAACTCACTCACTCACTCACTACAATCGGGGCTATGACGTGGCAGATTCTGCTGTATCGGATCAAAATCGTATGAATGTCCTGTGTTGTCTGGACGGTGTCCTGTGGATCGGGACGCTGTCGTGATGAACGAGAATGAATTGTTCATTGCCGTTTCTTGTCGATTGAGTCCAAATTGCGTCCAGATGTTGCCGAATGCGAACCGTCTTTGTCGGTTCACTGCCCGGTCACTGTCTGATCTCTGTCGGATCGCATTCGGGAGAATCGGAAGGCTGTCGGGACCGATTCGGTCGTTTTTTACCAAGCGGATTTAGAACGGGAGATCCGGGACGAATTCGGTTGGAATCGGCTGCATCGGGACGCTTTCTGAACAATATCTGATTGTTTGTGAATTCTCCGCCACGAAACACGGGATCTTGATCAGACTTTTGACAAATTTTAATCGGGAATGTTCCTGTCAAAAACAGCAGTAAAAATCCTGATTGTGTGATTTAGCCCCAACTCCATAATAAAACGTCAATGTTGTTGACTGTTAATGACATTCACTCGCTTAATTTATCAGAGAAGTCAATTCAGATGATGCAAACCAGATACTAATGAGGCCACCAGTGTCCGGACGACACTACATGTAGTTGTACTTTAACCGACAATAAACGCTAACCATTTATGTTACGAACAGGCATGGAGATAGTCGGTCCCTCTAAGCGTATGTGGGCAGGTGTTGCTATGAACCTCTTCTGGAGTGCGGGAAACATGATCACAGCTCTAACGGCCTATCTCATCAGGGACTGGAAGACTCGACAGCTGATTGTCAGTGTCCCTGCGGTTGTCTTTGCTTATCTGTAGTAGGTTTATTGACTTGGATTTGAAATCGTGTTAATTTGATAACATAAGGATACGGCAGTGTAGTTATTGCAAGTCCTTTGTTAATAATAATAATAATAATATATCTTTTAAGCTTTTTGCTCAGCAAAGAGGAAGGTTATCACCCGGGACCTCCTAAGCAGAGATCCCCAACCCCCTTTACTCACCTCCTTTACGTGGATGACCTTGAACTTATTGTCAATGGAGGATGTACACTCAAAAAACCGATTCTTCTTGTCGAGTCCTCTTCTAATGATATCGGCGTGTCCTTTGGACTTGACAAATGCAACATTCTTCATTTGAAACGTGGCACGGTAGAAGAGGGAGGATCAGTCAGTTTACTTGGAGGAGGAGTTATTGACCAACTTGTGGAAGGTCAGGCCTATACGTACCTAGGGATGCAGATTAGGGACAAACTTCAGAATGCCCAGATCAAGGGCAAACTTCTTGCAGAGTACAAATGTAGACTAAAGAAAATCTGGAGTTCAGAGCTGAACGCTCGCAATATAGTCAAAGCCACAAATACGCCCGTCCTTTCGTATTCATTTGGTGTTGTTGATTGGACGAAACAAGAAATTTAGGCAGTTGACACCCTCACACGAAGAATCATGTCAGACAATAGATCCCACCTACCTTGCTCTTCCCTCATTCGCTTATATTTACCAATTATGATAGGAGGGCGTGGATGGATTAATGTGGAGGCTCTACATGAAAGAATTGTTTTTTTGCACTTTTGCACCCATTTATTTGTCTGATGATCCTTTTGTGAAGCATGTCAAGACTCGTGATGAAAACGGCATTCCACAGTTTTCTAAAACGAGCCAAGGATGTGGGACATAATCTCAAAGTCGGTGCTGATTTTCTTGATGGTTTTGTACTGCTGGACGGTACAGAAATGAGTGTCAACCAAGTGAAGTGCCATATCAAATCGGCCCAGACTCAAGGAGTTTTTCAAGGAGAGGCTTTCTGAACGGCCACTGCATCGAGTTTATGTGCAGTGTGTTGAGAAGATAAGCAATCCTGCAGCGTCCTTCGCTTAGAGGAAGTTGTATGGTCTGAAAAGTGAAACCGAAGGCTTTCTGTTTGCTGCTCAGGACCAGTCACTTCCAACTCGAAACCGTCAATGTGTCATTTTGCATCAAAATGTGAATATGAAATGTAGATTATGTAATGAATTTAATGAGACTGTCCAACACATTGTCAGTGGATGCCCAGCTTTGGCTTCGCCATGTTTGTGGTTTTGACACAGAGGTCCATCCATGATACGACCCGGAATATGTAGAGGGCGTCATGGAAAATTATAAATACAAAATCCTTAGGAACAGACCAGTATACAGCCTCATACATATCCAGGCCAATAAACCTGATCTTGGCCTTCTTGATAAATTCAATGAAATCATTCATATCATTGAATTTTCTGTCCCCTTTGACACTAATGTGATTGACAAGATTGGGGAATAACATGGCAAATATGCAGACCTCGTTTTCGAAATGTCACACTTGCATCCCAAGTACCAAGTCATTGTTCTCAGTGCCTTAGGTTTGGTACCTCCCAATCTGTTGACTGACATTGGGAGAGTACCCAGGTTTGCTACCAGGAATACAGCCCTTCTGACAATCTGGGTAATGCAGAAGGCTACAGTGTTAGGGAGTCTTCACATTTTCAGAAAAGTTCTGGGTGGGTTTGAGAAGTCCCATTCGCTGTCTGGGCTGCGTGTAGAAGGGGAAATGGCTCTGAGTTGATGATGAGCCTCACCAGTCTGACTGTGCCAGGATCACCCAAACCCTCTTTGCTGCATTTTTAATTTTAATCTGTAAATTATAATAATGATAATAAATTGGAATTGCATCCGAGATAATTTTGCTGAAGGTTGTTATTTTTCAAGGTTTATATTTTCACATGAACTATAAGCTGTGCTTACTGCTTCATTTAATGACTTAGTTCTGTCATACCAGCTGAAGGCGTAGAACTATTTGTTCAATTGTAACATAACATTAAACAGCTTTTCATACAAGTACAAGTATTATACGATAAACACGTCATATGGCCCAGTATATCTTCTTGAGATTGACAGGAAACCAACGTCAATGTTTGTATGATAACAAGGTTCACATTTATCAACCACAGTTTTCTGCCAGAGTCCCCAAGGTGGCTTCTCAAACATGGAAAGAAGAAAGAAGCTAAAAGGAACGTAGCAAATATTGCGAAGAAGAACAAGGTGGAAATAGATCCAGGTATTCTTGATGAGGTCGATACTGAAAAGGCAAAGGTAAAGCAAGAACCATTCTGGAAATTATTGAAATCTTCAGTGATGAGGCGTCGAATGGTGATCATCTGCTACAGCTGGTATGAGTTCGGTCTCCAAAGTATGATTGTACAATATTTGAAAAATGGTTTTGGTAGATTAGACGCACACTAACATATGCGCTTCAGTCATTAATTTACATTTGAAATATGTACAGATATATTACTGTTAATGTTTAATTTGTACCTCTATATAATCTGTTAGTTCATGAAGACTTTAGTGATTGTGAAAAGTCGTTATGAACTTATTTTCTTAGTACGTTTCAGGCAGAGTCATGTTGCTCTCGGTGTGTGCACGTCGACGAAGACGCGCATAACTTTTATACCAATTTGTCAACCGCTGTAATACTTTTCTCTACAAATTGATTCCAGTGAGAAATGAGACAATTGTCACTTTTTAAAGTCCTTCCCTTCATGCCATTTCTCCATCTTTTAATGACTCTTCAGGTTTGCAGTTGGAATGGGTTTCTATGGTCTCAGCATGAACGTCACTAATCTCTCTGGAAGTATCTACCTCAACTTCTTCTTGTTCGTCATCGCAGAGGCTGTTGCATACATTTTTTGTTTTTTCCTCATGGATCGTATTGGCCGCAAGTTGCTCCTGTCTTTATCTCTGTCGCTGACAGGAGTAGCTTGCATTCTTCCTTTGATTCCAGTCCTAGTGTCAGATCCACGTAAGTGTCAATTTCAGAATGCACAAACACGTATACTAACGTCCTGGTCCTGAATCTTATGTGTCATTTCTAGAATTCTAACATATTCATACTTATGACAGGTAACTGGTGACTGGTGACAGGTGGCCCAATAGTCTAAGGCGCCGCGATTCGCTGAGCAGAGTTGCGTTCCTTGGGCACGCCAGAAACCTATGATTGTGGGTTCGAATCCCGGTTCGCCCCGATTATGTTTCTAGGTTTGTCAGCACCATACCCGTGCTCGTGGGTTTCACCGAAGTGGTAAACGTCTGAGACCTGCATCACTTCGGGCTTTCCTCCCACATTAAGCTGACACGCCGCGATTTAACTGGAATACTGTTGAAAGCGGCGTTAAACCCAACTCATTCACTTACTAGTAGCCTAGGCCAATAAAACAGGCATCAGTACAAACCGGACTAGATCAAGCAGACACTCGTGTACATACACGTCGCTATATGAGGTAAAAAATGTAAGCCCAGTTTCACCTCTCCTTACCCATTACAAGTACAGTAAACTACGGTTATAACGAACACGCTTATAACGAACTGACGGATATATCGAACTTACTTTTTTGGTCCAGACTATTTGCTGTAGTTATGCTGTATATATGCTTATAACGAACTACGGTTATACCGAACTGAAATAAGTAGTCCCTTTGCGTTCCTTATAACCGTAGTTTGCTGTAACATAAAAATTGCTTAAAGTATTGACAAGCTTATATTATTTGAATGTGTAGAATGAAGAAAAGACCTGTATATTTCAATCCGAATTATATATAGTTGATCCATAGCTTTTCGGTTATTTTGTAGTTAATCAATAGTTGACGGCCCATTAATCTCCCACTTAACTCCATAGCTCCCGGTTATATATCTTGAAAAATGTTTAAAAACTAAATTTGATGAAATCAAATTCATCGTAATAAAAAAAAAAGAAACAAAGGAGGAGATTGAACATGAATTAGATACAATCATGTAAGAATACATATTCCGTTTTGACTCTTGCAAAAAAACCTTTCCTTCAACGAACAAACTCTGTCTCTCTGTCCATCAGCTGAGAAATGGGCCATCAACATCCTCGCCATTATAGGAAACACGTGTGCCGCTGCTGCCATGTGTGCCGTCTACACTTTCACAGCTGAATTAATGCCAACCACATCAAGGACATTTGGCATGTCAATAAGTTCCAATTGCTGTAGAGTTGGAAGTCTTCTTTCTCCCTATATTGTTGACTTGGTGAGTTTTACGAATTCCTTGTGATTGCAGGCAAGTCTTGTTTTATTAGTTCTCAAATTAAAAATACAGCGAATTTTTAAAGGGTAAGTATGATGACATTGTGAAATGCTGTACTATATAACGTGAGACGTTAAAGAGGAAGCGAGGTTTACTACAGCAGTGGTTGTGACAAAGAGGATACAATATCGAACAGTGGAATTCGGGTTTGATACAACTGGATGACATGAGACGACTTGGGGACCTATGAGGTAACTGGGGGAGTGATGCGTTAACTGAGATGTAATTGGGTGAATTATGGGTTAACTACAAGAACATTGGGACATCTTTGGGCAAACTGTAACATGCATGGGGCATATGTGTTAGCTACATGATTACTGCGGCAACTGTGTCTTCACTACATGATACCCGGGGGGAGAATGGGGAAATCACAATATAATTGAGGATCTATGCATGGGCTATCTGCAACATACCTGGGGGCACTATAGGTTAACTGCCAGATAGCACAGTGAACTATGGGTTAACAATTTACCAGGAGGAACTATGGATTAACTACCAGATAACTAGGGCACTATGGGTTAACAACACTATAACTTGGGGAACTGTCGGTTAACTACAGCATAACTCTGGAGCTTTGGGTTAACTATTAGACAACTGGTTAACTGCGGGTTATCAACAAGACAACACCTAAGGACCAACTATCAACTGGACCAAAAGCTAACTACAAGCTAAGTTGGGGAACAAAGGATTAACTACCGATTAACCGCGAGATAACTTGATGAAATATGAGTTAACTACAAGATCAGTTGGGGAGCGAAGCACAAGTGGAAGGACTATGTGTTAACTACATGATAGCGGGGGAAATATGTGTTGGTTGCGAAATAACTCAGAGCTCTGTGGTTAAAGACAAGATAAGTGGGGGGAGCAATAATTGGTTAAATACAAAAAAGTGGGGGAGCCATGGGTTAACTGCAAGATAAGTGGGGGAACTATAGGTTATCTTCGGGATAATTTGGAAAACTGTGGGTAAACGGCAAGATATGTATGGGACCATTAGGATAACTACAAGACAACTTTGGAGCTATAGATTAACTGTGCGAGAAAAGGATATTTGAGTAAACTACACGATATATGCGGGAACCATGGCTTCTCTACAAGATATCTTGGGGAAGTATGGGTAAAATACAAGATAACGTGGGAGCTATGGGTTATCTAAACGACATCTCGGGGAACTATGTCTAAACGGCGAGATTACAAGCTGAACAATGAAGTAACAATTTACCTGAGCAAACTATGCGATTTCTGGGGGAGCTATTGTTTCACTACACGGTACCTTTATGGGCTAACTACAAGATGACCGGGAAAATTATGGATTGATTATAAGATAACTGAGCCAGTGGATAAACTACAAGATAACCGGGGAGCTGTGGGTTAACTATCAGTTAATTTAGGAACTTTGAGTTAACAACAAGATAACGGTGATGTATAGGTTAACTATAAGATAATGTGGGTAACTATTGGTTAAATAACTACGGTTATGCACAATATAAACGTAAAAAGATATAGATTAACTGAGTAAAACTTGGGCGCCGTGGAGTTAAATGCGAGGGAAGTGGAGGAACAATGTACCTTTAAATAAATGTAGGTTAAAGCCAAATGTGGGAGCTACTGGTTAATTATAAGATACCTTGGTGACTACTGCTTAACAACAAATTATCTGTGGAACTATTGGTCAACCTGGAGATAAGTGGAAGACGTATGGGTTAACTGCAAGATATCCTGGGCAACTATGGTAAACTGTGAGATAACGAAGAGGTCCGCCAGTGCTAAAAGTTAACTGGGAATCTATGAATAAATACTGATTGACCCTGGTTATGTCTTGTAAATAACTGAGGCCATATGTTCCAGCGTAATACTAAACCAATGCCAGCACTTTGTATGTTGGTGTAGTCATAAAAAATAAAGTACTTTCACATTTCGAATTTCAGACGATGTACATATCAGGACGTTTCGGACAGATTCTTCCCATGCTGGTATTTGGCGGTATCACCATTTTGGCGGGCCTCCTCGGTCTGCTTCTCCCGGAAACGCTGAACAAGAAGTTACCGGAAACCACCAAGGAAGCTGAGATGCTCGGGACGTAAGTATTTTTAACAACTTTCACTTCACTGATGTTCAGTCTCAGCATCAGTCCAAGTCTTATAATCGGTTTCAGTTCAGTATCCGATTCAGTCTGTTATTTAATTCCAGTCTGTCCATCATACTTGTCCCAGTCGAGATTCACGCACATTTCAATCCACTTAAAGTATCAGGACAATGATTCATTTTACTTTCAGCCTAATAACATTACAGATTCAGCTCAATAACTGATCAGTTCCAGTTTCAGTGCACTTTTCATAACATTTACGGTTATAGACAGTTCGTTCGATTTCAGTCCAATTTCGGTCTCAGTCTCGTGTATGATTTCTTATATTACAAATACATTTATCCGGGAAATTTTTTCAAAACCTTGACTTTGGAGTCGAATCCTGTAAGCACTCATGTTTATACCCCTCTGTATGTCACTCGTACAAATTGCTAAGCACAATACTACCCTGTTTAGTATTGGCCATTGCCGTTACACCCACGAATATTTGTTGAAAGGGGAGGATCATCCGTTCTGCATCCCTTGTGAGTAAAGAATCACCGTCAAGCATATATTGCTTGACTGTGTTGATTTTTCCATCACAAGGGATAAATATTTCCAGGTCAAAACTATTAAGGATCATTTAATTATTGTTTTTTTAAAAGAAATTGAATTGTATCATAAATTTTGTTAATATGTTTTGTGTATGATAACTTTTTAACACTAGTAGAATGAATTTATATCTGAGATTGTTAGTGGCAGTATCCTCGAAGGGGGTTAAAGTACTGTAAAATTATTGTCCCCCTGAGAGGGTATCATAAGTCCCTGTCATTCAAGGAATATTTACATTTACTACGCTTTTTTAACGTAGAATTTCTGTCATTTTAATTGTGGCTAAAATTATGTACAATCGCCAGCGACTGAAGGGATGATGTAAATCCTGCTAGGGTCCATGCAGGTAGCAAAGGTACTGTAAGTCCCCTTGGTCCCTAGTATGGTGATCTACCTTCAGTTGCTGGCGATCTATAGCTTGTTTTTAAAATGTAATGTATATGTAAAGTGCTATTGATTTTATGATTACATACTAGTTTTAAATTTATTGCTGTGATAAGTCTAGTTGTTTTACTGTCCCTCGTTGACAGGTTTTTACATACGTTTCATTATATGTATTATATTTAACTTATGATAGTCACGATATGGCTGAAATATTGCCGATGTGACTTAAAATTTTAACTCACTCACTCACTCACTACCCTGTTTACATCCAACAAATACAGCTGCAAAGTGTCACTACGACCTGAATATAGACGTAAACTTATCTTTGTTTATCAATGCGCAAACACGACCATACTGTATATGAATGACATGAACATTTGTGAAGCACCTAATTCGTTAATTACAGGAACGCGTACGACGCTGGAGATGCATCCGCTGTTGAGCGGATTCCACTTGAATCTCAGGCGGAGGAGAATGTTTTCGAAGCTGAAAATAAGAACGACACGAGAGAAAACGATGCAGTTTCGAGGGATGATCTGCGTGTGTGAACAAACTACATACACGTATCTGGAACAATTCACATTATTACCAACACGTCTCATTGTGAATGCCGTTATCTTTGTATTGGACACATCAGATACAAAAAATCAAATGTTACCATATTTGTTACATAGTTTTCATATGTACAAGCGATAATTATGAATAATAGTTTTTCTATTTAGCACATAATATATTGTCCATCGGTGTTTCTAAAGAGAAACTAGTATATGTAGATTTTTTCAATGTTTCCCGTATTGGAGCAAATGACAATAATAATACTTTATTACCTTCAAGGTAACATGTACACATTAAAGTGCAAGCACATTGTATGCATGAAATGACATGACAGGACTATACTACTTTCTTTTGAATGGCCGTTTATTATGAAGAATATTATGGATATTAGAGTTCCTGACGCCTCTATGTCCTCCCTGCTAACTACTGGTGTGTTTTTGAGTTTTTTCCTGAACCTGAGAGAAATCTAGACTTGCTTCATTTAGGGCTTTTGCATTACAGAGAGGGCTGGGCAAAAGGGCAAATAAGATGGTTTAGGGACTGTGAGCCATACTACTGATGTGCAAGATCACAGCATAACAATTCAGACTGACAACTCCACTGGTTAGCATTAACAGTCTGCACTTGGTATGATAATATGTAATATTTCCATCAATACATGTTGCGACAACCATTTATCATATGGCATGACTAAAACACATGTTTCCAAACAAAACTCCGTCCTGTTAGGTGGCGCTAAATTGTGACGATGGGTATTGTTGACTTTATTTCAAGCTTCTTTCACATTTGATAATTATCTACTATAAAACTTTAATACTTCGCAGATCATGCTCTGACACAGGATTGCTGAAACGGTTAGGAATAGGACCTGCGTTATTTCCGGAAATCTGCGTCATCAATGTTATGAGGAGTTACGGGAATTGGTATGGCCTGGGGAATACTTACTTCCACTTGTTGAGTGAGTGAGTGAGTGAGTGAGGTTGTACGCCGCTTTAAGCAATATTCCATCAATATCACGGCGGGGGACACCACAAATGGGCTTGACACATTGTACCAATGTCGGGGATCGAACCCGCGTCTTCGGCGTGACGATCGAACGATTTAACCACTGGGCTACCCAAACGCCCTTCCCCCCACCCACCCCAAATCTGAAAATTTCCAGAGACCTCATCTGATAACAAGATTCACTTTTACCCATATCAAAATCTGGTACAGCCACATCAAGTGTTTCAATGTCAGTATTAATGAGTCTTTCTACTTAGTGTAATGAAATGAAAATCGGAATCGGAATCTCCCATGTTCATCACGTACAATGACTCAGAGTAAAATGGGAAATCGCAGGTGCTTTTCTGCGCTCTTATTAGAAGAGGCCTCCAATGGTATTGCTCGAACTTTAGCGCGTTCATGCGGGCAGTTCCTATCGATTCAGCATAAACAATAACGACCCTCCATTGTATATGCACGTGCATATTAGGTGGACATGAGTTTAACATGTATTAATTGGACTTTATTTTACGTTGGATATGGTCCTCAAAGTCAGGATTATTTTCGCACGAAGGGCAAGTTCTCGGCCTAATGGCCTCAGATTCGCCCCACGTGCAAAAATAATCATGACTTTTCGGACAATATCCTACACTTAATGACCAGATATATCTCCCCTAACAAAATGCTACTGAGGCATATGCACTATTAAAAAAAAGTAGGGGATCTTTCATTTTGCGATCATACTTGTAACAAATGCAAATGAATACGAGACAAAGTAATATAGATCCTTAGAGAGGAAACATTTCCAGTGAAATTCGGCCCCCAAACACAACAATGACAACCCCAGGATCTGCACGTGATGCTAGTTGAACACAAGATTTGCACGACTTTGAATTGAAGGTTTTAACCACTGTGAAAGGAAATTTGAAGGTGGAAACATCAGTTTAATTGTTTTGGAACTCAGTTACCAAACGGGTGACATGCGCCGACTTACACAAAATGAAAGGTTACGTGCCCTTGGCATGCTACAGGTTGGCACAACACAGACCGTTGTGGCACGGACGATGAACGTTTCACAGTCTGTCATAAGCAGATTATGGTCCAGATATCGTGCTACACATTCTGTTAACGATAGACGACGCTCGGGTCGACCAAGGGCGACAACTCATGCACAGGATCGATTTATCCGTACGTACGTAAACCTTGAGAAATCGTGTCATAACGGCTAATCCGATTAGAGCTCGACTACAAGCAGACGCTGGTGTGAGAGTGAGTGCCCAGACGATCAGAAATCGACTGCACTTCCTCGTCAACACTGGGATAATCGACGTTGGAACAATGTAATGTTTTCAGATGAGTCGAGGTTCACCGGGACTTCCTCGACAGGCGTAGGAGGGTGTGGCGTCGACGAAACGAATGTTTCCATGATGTTAACGTCATTAGACATGATCAATTTGGGGTGGATCTGTAATGGTGTGGGGAGGCGTCACTGCTGCTGGAAGAACGGACTTACATGTTGTTGCCGGACGTGTCACAGGCCAGCACTACCGGGACAACATCTTGGCAGCCCATGTTGTGCCGTTTGCACGTCGTCAGGGCCGCCGTTTCATCTTCCAGGATGACAATGCAAGATGTCACAGGGCCAGGATTGTTACAGATTACCTCAAACAGCAGCATATCACCACATTATCATGGCCAGCGCTGAGTCCGGACCTGTCCCCCATCGAGCATGTCTGGGACATGCTTGGACAGCAGTTACGTCAACGTCAACAACGTCCTACCACTGTCCAAGAACTTGCTGCTGCGTTGCAACAGGAGTGGAATAACCTTGACCTAAATGACTTGGGACGCCTCGTAAGGAGTATGCCATGTCGTATCCGTGCCTGTCTAGCCAACAGAGGGGGTTTTACCCATTATTGACTTTGCTTTCATGTCATGGCAACTTTGCTGTTTGACCCTGGGTTTGGTTTTGCCCTTATTACGGAAAATCTGTGCTTCGCCGGCAGTACCAAAGGTGTGGAATAAATTGACAAATGTTCCCTTAATGTCTTTTCGGCATTTGTTTCCTCTTTGGGTTCACAATTTCCGTGTCATAAATCTTGTAAATCCAATATCCCCTACTTTTTTAGTGAGTGAGTGAGTTAAAATTATAAGTCACACCCTACTTTTTAAAAAAAGTATATATATGAAATAAATGGTTTAAGTGTGTCGTGCTGACCAACACTGCATGCTGTGACAAAGCCGTTTGTTATTGCTGATGTTGTAAAATCGATGTTTATCCAAGTACACGTGTTTTGTATGCAGCAAGGACAGCCTGCCACATATCAACGTTATAAAAAGCCGTGTTTACCTCTACGAGATGGAACTAAAGTTCTTGAATTATATTAATTTTAACTCATTCATGAGTGAAATCTTGTTATTTTCTTTTGTTACCTCTTTGATCGTTTATTAACATTTCTGACTGAAAAAGATTTGATCTTCTCAATAGTGTTCTGATGCCGTGATTCAAGAAATCCTACTTCCTTTTCACACTCATAAAGCTGTAATGGTACACTCTTCAGAAAAGAAACGCATAGTTAAAAATTAAGGATATTTATTGAGCGGATGTAAAAGTATCTACACAGAATATACGTGAACACAATCAAATGAAATTAGACACAGTGATCGACAAAAACATTGTTGTCATTGTCAGCATTAATTCAGTTCAGCCACTGCACATGTGTAGCCACAAGGGGGCGTCATGGTCAGTACCTGGTCACACCACCTCTTTCAGCCGTCACTGCTCGACGCCTCCTTGGCACAGATTGCATAAGTCGTCGGAATTTTCGTGGGGAATTCTTCGCCATTCCTCCTGTAAGGCGTTGGCGGGTTGTGCCAGTGTTTTTTGAGCCGATGGTGACGTTGACGGACGCGTCGATCAAGTTCGTCCCACAAATGTTTAATGGGGTTGAGATCAGGCGATTTGGACGGCCATGGAAGGACATTGATGTTCTCATTAACAAGGAAATTAACGTTTGCACGTGCTGTGTGGGGCCGAGCGTTGTCATGCTGGAACAGCTTCCTCTTGCGGTCCAAATTTGGGAGGAGGTGAGGACGCAGAATTGGATATCCGTGTAGGATATGGCTCCCCACACCATGACACTCCCTCCACCAAATCGGTCCACCTGTCGAACGCAGTTTGGCGCAAAACGTTCATGTCGACGTCGGTATACACGTTGTCTTCCATCCTGTCGTTGAAGAAGAAAACGTGACTCATCGCTGACCCAAACGCGTCGCCAGTTCCTGAGATCCAATGCCTGTACTCTGTTGCACCACCGGACACGTCGTTGACTGTGTAGACGTCGCAAGACAGGTCCACCTTTTGGTCGTGTCGCTCGAATTCCCACTTCCCTCAGACGATTTCTGATGTTTTGGTCGGAAATTCTTCGTATACCAGGCACTTGTCCTGCAGTGTCCGTTGCTGTAGCAAATCGATTCCGAAGGTGATGCAACCAGATGTACCGATCCTGAGCAGGGGTGGTCACTCTTGGTCTTCCACTTCTGGGATGATCTTCAGTCGAATAAGAGTGAGTGAGTGAGTTAATATTTAAAGTCACATCGGCAGTATTTCAGCCATATCGTGACTATCAATAGTCAGTCGAATAAGAGCGGGTATATCGATCCCATAGTCGAGATATAGTGTTTTGGTGAACGTTGAAGTGTCTTGCAGCGGCAGACTGGAACTCCCCTGCTTCCAAACGTCCAATGGCGATATTTCGGTCAGCTGCAGTTAATCTTGGCATTTTTCGATCTCCGTTCACGTCAGAAAATGTTGTAATGAACTGATGAATTGTGTACGGTCTTTTATAGTCAGTGTCTTTTCTCTTGTTTCCAACATTTTGCACGTTCATTGTGCTGAAAGCACTTTCCGTGCATCGTTTGCATTTTTGCTGATAAACGTTTACAAAAAAACATTTTGAGATGTGTTTGCGCGCAATGCACAACAAACGTGACATGATTAACGGGAATCAAACATAAGAATTGTCTTTTTGACGATTGCAGGCCAAATGTAATTCGGCTTTTTCTCAGAACGAAGAAAACAAGAGTAGGTGGGCCGTCAATGTCTTCCAAGCGTAGGTCAAGGAAATACAATCACGTGGGTTACGTGATGACGCCGTGTTAAAACCTGACAATATTGCTCTTTCGCATCGTGAAACAGATCTTAATAAGACTCTCATGCGTTTCTTGGTTGAAGTACGAAACCACAAGGGTGCAGCATATCGGGGAAATACGTTAAATGAACAACTTACAACCATTTTCTCTTAAATAACAACAACAATCGTGCTAAAAGTATTTATGAAACTT